TCGAGAAGTCGTCTCAGACATCTACCCAAACGTTAGTGAAAAAGATGCAGATTTTGATAGTATCGGGTTTGGATGCTCTTTGGTACATGTACCGAAACTTAAAAGTGGAGTCCTTAAATACCGTAAGAACAGTAGTAGACAAAAAACAATAGTGGAAGTTTAAGACGATGGCGAAGAACGTTGTAAATTCAATTCTTTTTTTAATTTAGCCTCCACACCTCCATCTGCACCACCAACTTCGCATTCAGCATTTGGAAGAAGACACTCAAATATTGATAACAAAACATTGGGTATATATAGAAAAAATCTTTTGTATATAAGAAATTGTTGTAACTGATCGATAGTATACTAGATATTTGAATTTCTCGTAATACGTTTATTTACCTCAACAAACTTTCTATTTATTTTTTTTAGAAGAAGATTTACGACTTAGTGATACAAGTGACGATGAAATTGATATTTAAAACGAGTTAATTAACGAAATCAACATCATTTGAGAAACTTTTTTTATGCTTGTATTATATGTATAAACGAGGTTTTTCAATGTATCTCTGTGCATATGGGAAATGTAATATGCACATACTGCCAACTTTGTATTTTTGATAAAAACTTTTGTTTTGGATGGTTCTTGTTGCCCTCCTCTCCCTATTGTTTTCTTTTGTTTTCTACTGTTATTGTTATGCGATCAAACTCAAATATAAGTTGAAAAACACAATGTCATATAGGAAATGCTATAATAGAGAAAGTACAGTCTTTGTATGTGGATTGATGTCTTTCATTGATACTCTTTCAAGTTTTTCGGCTTGTATATTTTCCAAATTTTTAGACAATTGAGTAAATAAAAACTGTTGGGTTATTAAACGATTGTATCCGATGGAGTCCTGTCATTATAATGTATTATTATTAGACCATTGTTTGCTTAAATTTTAGAAGAAATAAATTCCGCTTAGAATCACAGAATTTATCGATAGTTTCTTTGAATTTTTCTAAGACAAATTAAATTATTAATGTCTGCGCTCGTATCGTGGGTTACATTTGATGTGTATTGTATTTTTGAAAAATCACCAACAGAAAAAAGTAAGAAAAATAGATAGAACTAATACACACTTTATAACAAAAAATATCTGACAAAAAATAATACGAAATATAAGCTATTAGTTTTCTTCTCTTGGCTATTATTGTCTAAATCTGACACAAAAAATAATAAAGTTCAAGTTATTTCTCGTTATCAATAACTAACTATTCAACACAATTATAATGTTCTTCATCAATTGTCGAATAAATGTGTCCCTCGTTACTTAGAAACTCAATTGATTTTCTAAAAGGAAAAACTTTATTCCATTGTGCTGCACAAAGAGTCAAATTAGTCTTTTTTACCTTATTTGTTGTTCATTAAATTGTTTTAAACGTTGACAAATGTCTTTAACACTAAAACCAGTATTTGTTTGACTACTTTTCAAATAATTGACAATCTAAAAAGTAGAAGAAAATGTATTTTCGAACAGGTTAACAGCGATGGCTTGTTAGTTCGACTTACTCCATTTTCAAGATTTGAAAAACCGGTATGACTCGTAGGAACACCACCACCTCCGGTATTACCGTTTCTTGCATTGCTTGCACCATTGCTACTCATTGTTGTCATTGTTGTTCCATTTACACCAGTTGATCCCTTGAAATTATAGTTAAGAATAACAATAATTATTGATAGTTGTGATGTTCATCTCTCAACCAAACTAGTAACTAAAACCGATATGATCCTTTTCTAACCGATATGATCCTATCAAAATAAATTGAACTAAGATAAAGAAAACAAAAAATTTGACTTTTTCAGATTTTCTAAATTTTTCCCGTCTTCGCTTTTGTTAATAAACAATCTCCATACATACTCCTTGTTGTTTTTGATGATATATTGATGCGTGTACACATTCGACAAGATGTGATGTTAACTCATTTACAGATTTCAAACGATTTATACGAAATGCCGATATCATGAGTTTGCCTGCTAATTGTTTGATACAGCCATAAACTTTTACGTAGGTTGATTCAACATAGACTTCAGCACTATCCTATAAATGAGAGTGATTTTTAAATATATATATCTCATATCATCAGCCAGAAATAAATCTTACATCAGCCCAAGCTTTGACATCAATTAATCCGCCAGTATGATCATCAAGCGTATACGTTGTATGGGCACTGGATGATTGAGATGACCGAATAATACCCAATATACAAACATTATTAAATTTCAAATGTTTATAAACATAACAATTTTGTTCATTATTATATTTGGATTCCAAAATTGTCGCAATCGTGCATGATAATACACCTTTTATATTTGAACGCTAAAAGATAAGTCTTATATTTTATTTTTCAAATGAGAAAAAAAAATCGATAACTTACTTGAACATTACCAGTACCAGCTGGTGAAGCACCAGCACCATCACGTGTAAAACCGCCGCCTGTGTAACCTACATAGAAAGAAGATTACTTGTAATTGCTAGACGCGATCGATTGATAAAAATGATTTGAAATTTCGTTGCTGTTCAAATATATTTTCTCTCAAACCATTTCAATTACCGTTAGCATTTGCACTCGCTCCCCACAAGGCCATTTTTATGGTTCGATATAATGTTTACAATAATATAAGATTTGAGTTAATCTGAAACAAATAATGAATAAATGTCTGGATCGTAACCATGACTTTCTATTTTAAAAACGATATTTTACACACACACGTCGTCTTCTCTATCACATTACTCACTTATTGCTCAACCTTGTGACATCGGCACCAATCGTCGTTTCCTTCAGAAATTAGTCTGTTTACGTCGACACTTCTAGTTCAATCAAACATACACAGAAACGGGAACGTTTTTCCTGTTGATGTATTTATATTAACTGGAAGAAGCAACGTAAATTACTTGTAGTTTACATTACAATCAATGACACTGATTCACTTTTATCGAAAACATGAACTCTGGCTTATTTTTTGACGGAGATGTGAGGAGCGCGCCTTTATCATGTGATCAACTAGATGATTGAGTCACGCTCGGTGCTTGTGGCATCCATAAGCTGCAAAGTATTCTGACTTTCAGTCATTTAAGCGTCTGCTACAGTCTGTAGTGTTGGAAAAGTTTTTTCTCTTAATTATTCTTCGGTTTTTTCACTGATTTGTTTTCAAAATTAATCCCTATACAAAGAAAAAATCTGGCTATGCTTTTTCACACTTAGAAAAAAATTCAGCCTATTTGAGAATGTAATTATGTCGTGAAATATCAACTTCGAGTTCAAAACGAAGCAAAGAACAAAATCTTCACGTTTTGATTTATATTACTTTTGTCTTGCAGATATCAGTGGATACGATTATTTACCTCCCTTAACAACGTCTTCTATAAGAGTTTATTTTTCGTCGGATCCAATGATAATCAAATAGTTTCTTGCTATTTATATTCTATATGTATGTATAGAAAGTATATTTAACACATATAGAAACATGATGAAAAAGAAAAGAAATTTTGTGTATTCAGAAGTGTCTAGTCACTGGAAGACTAAACGCTCTACTACAACATCTTAGCTACTCTTTTAGATTATGATTCTGTTGATTAAAAAATCTTTAGAACAGATAGTTTTTGAGAAGGTGTACGCATGTCAAATTTTTTAATAAAATAGCATAAAAAAACTAGCTCCACTGGCGTGTTGCATCGGTTGATATATATCTTCTCGACCTTTACCAAACCGATTGAGCTAAAATTCCGAGCTCATGGATTTTTAGGAACGCTTTTGCTACCAGATTTGTCAAAAAAATCATTGAATTATAGAGAATAAGGTCTATGGAAACTGGAAACTTTTAGCTATTATCACACACTAAAATATTTTTGGAAAAATGAATATCTTTTGTTCTGACTTTTGTTGCTCCTAGTGAATGTACTTGAGTTAAGGTACTTATTTACTTATGAATCTGTAAGTACTTGACTTAGTAATTATTTTATAAAATAGTGCTTAATAATTACTTGTCAAAGTATATGAAGGATAATATGATACTTGATTTATTTGCAAAAATCTCAAGAATGGTGGAGAAAATTTGGGAGGGTACTTGGGCAAGTACATTCACTTGAAGTATGGTATTTATACTTCACACATCTTTATACTTTACACATGTTCTATCACAACTTGCCATACCAGCAGAAGAACAATTATGATTATTTTTTGAAAAGAATATGTTTGTCTTTTTCTAACTAATGCTTTCAAACATAATAACCACCAGAAGCGCAGAATATACCCGTTCGCTCCAGCGGCTATCAGTAGAAAAGTTTTTCAGAAACCTTAAACAAAGTAGTATTTTTACTGAAAAATAATTGCAGAAGAAAATGTTATACAAGAGAGTTTTTTAGAAATTTTTCCAGCAGAGGAAGTATTTCTTTATGGCTCCCATTTAAATGCTAAGTAAAAAGTTATTTTTTTCTAAGTAATTTATTAAAAATAATTACATTTTTTGCAGAAATGTGGTTTAGTGGCTCACTCTCATGTTCTTCACGCACCTCCCCCCACAACTGCCTCTAGGCACACAAAAATATAGCTTACTAAAGTAGGAATTAACAAAAATTAACTTAGCATTTAATAAAAACTATTTAGCAAAAAAATAGTTGCCTTTCTTTATTACGGGTAGTTTCTGGACCTAGAATACATCACTATCTAACGTGTCATTACTTTCTGAAGTGTTATCGAGCATTATTATTTATTATGGATTATACTCTCAGTGTGCACCAGTAAACAGTCAGTGAAAACAAGTACCAAAATGGTACCTTAAAATTCGTACAATGAAAATTACGTTTCGTATATTTTAATGAACAAAACAAGTCTTCAAATGAAATATTAATTAAACTATATAGCTCGCGAATCTTGTACTATTGCTGACAACTGAAATTTCATTAAATGCATTATGCTCGAATGAATGAAAACTATCGATTTGTCTAACAACAACAACCTTAAATATATGCATTGAAATTAAAACAATGCGTTCTGTTTAAAATACATGAAGTGTCAAACCTTAAATATAGAAAATAAACGAAGAACAGATTAATCTACTTTATTTAATTTCATTTTTACAAAAAAATAATAGACAACATTTGTTTTTTATCTGACAACAACATATACAAACCAATGTCGAATAAGTATGACTAGTAGAAAACAGAGTAAAATTAAAAAAGATGCAGCTTAAACATGGTAAATAGTAAGAGATTTTTTTAATTTTCTATTTATGTACAGCAGTGAATACGAAAACGGAATTTTAATTTATATTTTATTATCCTATTTGTTTTGTTTGAATTCCGTAACCAATTAATTTTTTTGTTTCAACAAACACATCAGCACATGTAAATGTCACTTCACTTTCGCATAAACCAGCATGTTTTGGTTTAAATTCGATCATAATTGGAATTTGTGTTTTTGGACTATAAAATATAAAGAAACAAATATATGAATCTATCTAGATTTAAGTATTAGAATATAACATACGCTGCATTTATAACGCGTGCATTGCAATAAAACGGTGGACGAATGCCTGTTATGCGAATCTAAACCAAAAAAGAAATAAATGTCACATCATAAACAACGTCCTACTTAAACTTTTTCAAAGTAACAAACACAATTATTTCTATCAAATTGATCTTAACTTACCATTTTAAATTCCGGTAAACGATTTTGTATTGTAAATTGTTTTTTGTCCGATTTTTTAACTTCACCAAAATTTAGTTCATCTTCAACAACATGAATATCTGGTAATGGTTTCGGTGGCAAAACAGGAGTAGGTGGACTGAAGAAAAAAACCTATTCTCTTTTCATATGACGTAATACAGCAGCTGAAAAACACATACCATTCAACATTATCTGACATTTCTTGTGATTTATTTAATGTCTAAACGAAGAAAGAAAGAGAAAGATGCATTTTTTTATTAGTAAATACCTTAAACACAAAGCTCACCTCTCGAACAACATCTGGTGTTTCTAAATTTTGTCGATTGACGCCTGAGTATGGACTATCATTTCTAAAAATAAAATAATAGGAAGATTGATGCATACATATATTTGAATATCAACTATTTAATTCTTTTAAGAATTTTCTACATATCTGACGTCAGTTTAACATACAGATTTTTCATACAAAATAAAAAATCTGTACATATCATACTTTTGTGCAAGTTTTCTTGTTGGTGTCAATGTTGGATTAATTGATAATGATTTTCTACTTGGCGTTTTAGCAAATAATGTTGCACGATAATAGGAATTATTTGGAGCAGTTGTAAATGATGTTGATAAACCTTGACCATCTTGATGTTGTTTTCGTTGAAATGTTGTTTCTAATAGACAACTGGCATTATTTGTTGTAGCAGCACAAGTGTCTAATGTACGATTATGTTGTTCGGGTGATGATTCTAAATGTAAGATTGATTCTAATGATAACATTGATTCTTCACTCCATTTAATTGCTCGTTGTAACATTTTTTCGGTTTTAAGAGACGTCTAAAATAAATAAACAACATTAACTAATTATATTCGTCATCTATCGCTGTAAAGATGACGTTTGTAGCACACAAAGAAATATTTTCAAATAATTTAATACAAATATTTCTAAACTTCGAATGAGAACCGTCATATATGACATTTAAAATTTCCCACTGTAAAGCTCTATCGTTCAATATTTTTTATGCTTTAGCTATTGTTAGTACACAGTAGAAAATGGATCAATATACTTACAACAGCTACTGATTTCTTAGCACTCAATTCATCCATTCGTTTACTTAAGCATTGTGTCATTTCACCACATTTATCAATTATTTTTGCTTCAAATTTTTGTTCATCATTTTTTTTAACATCATTTATACGAATTAATAAAATATTTTCTTTTGATTCGTAAGATTTTTCATCCAACAATAATTCTAAATAGACAAAAAAGAAAAACAAAACAATAGTAGAAACAATTTTTTTCAAGTATTAGCGTACTTCGTTTCCTTTTCAATACTGCACTATACATAATTTTGTTCAACTAAAAGGTTTTTTTAAATAATAAATCTGAAACAATTAGAGTCAAAATGTTAATTATAGGTCATCATAGAAACTTATTACCACAAAAAGAGCTAAACAATATAGATAATACTCCTGTAAACCGATCAGTTATGTATCTTTATCGAAAGGTGTGTAGTTATGTGCAAGTTAAAGAATAAAATCATAGATATGAAAAATTTGAGAAAATTTTCAGAAATGCTTCCAACACATTAAGCCGCACATTGAATGGACAAAAACGAAGTATCAGAGTTGTGATGAATATGAACAATAAACATCAGTGAAAGGATAAATACGATTTTTGATTCGACTGAGACCTTCACAGTTTCTAATCTCGTTGTTTTATGACGATCATCTCAATTAGTACAAGATTTTTCGTTATCTAGATAGATTTTGAAAAAGTAGAAGTTACAATGAAATTAAATTCTACTGCTAACTGGCCTGCGCTATTCGAGTGATCACATAACAGCAGTCCCATCTGGATCTGTTGACGTACCCATCGCTTAATTTCAGTCATTCTCATAACCATTTTGTTCAAGCTCTATAGCCTTTTGT